GATAAAGTGGTAAAAGAAATACACATACATCTACTGGTTTAAGCATATGAACCAATGTATTTTTAGTTCGGTTATTATTTAATTCCAATCTTCTAGTACTCTAGTCCTGGTATTTATTTAAATTTTGCCTATGTCGTGTGTAACTTCCTGTTCGACATGCCACACCAGTAGATGGCACTAATGCAATGGTTTGTTCCCTAACACCGATGCAGACGAAGAATTCGGAGGAAATAGTGGAAAGACGAAGGCTAAAGAGTAGAAAACTAAAAACATTTTTGTTTACATTTTTAACATTTCTATTGCTGTGAAATCCGAAAAAAACCTCAGTGCTGGCGACATTTTAACTACTTCAACTCAAGAGATGTTTCAACTGTTTTCTTATTCGTGTAAACGTTATTTCCAGCGTCTCCACAGTTAGCTTCAGCTAGCTGTTAACCAACTGTCAGCAACCCACATGCATGACAAGAGCGTATAAAAATTACAAAAGATTTTCATGTCAGTAGCTGTAAATTATGTCTTCGGCGTGGAGAGAGCGCCAGGGACAGGTTGGAGAAATACAACAGATGAGCAGAGTAGAGCTTCAGGAACTTCTGCTGAGACAGGAGAAGATCCTAGCTAACAAGTAAGAGTTCACAACCGTTACCATTTCGCTTTGTAATTCTTTACAATATACAAATGTTTCTAAACTAGTGGATTTCAGAGGGAAATATAGGTAAACTTGAGTTGTATGTTTCTGTTTGTGATTTCTTATAATAAATTATGTTTTTGTGTTTTGACAGGAGGTTATTGAAGTCTCTCCCTGACAAAGGAGAAAAGATATCAGAGTTTGCAGAAAGAGTGCGTCTTGCTATTCAGAACCACGATGAAGAGGAAAGTCGACAAAGCTTGGTGTTCGCTGCCAGGACAAAGTTACAGTCGAAGTACCAACAGGCTTTCTCAGGAGAAAAACGCCTTGTTCTCAACAAACCAGCCTTCTCCAACCCAAACACAAATGAACCTGCTTCTGGCAATGAGGTAAATGAGAGACAATCCTTCCCTGTCTCCGCTCAAATGGCAGCCGTGGTTTTTTTAGTAGCCAGAGAAACTGAAATAATGGAAACCGGTTCTTTGGAACCTTCTCAGGGTTCAGAAGAGACAATAGAGAGTGACCTTGCAGGGGCACTGGAAAAGGTTAGACTTTCTGAAACTAGTAGTAAGTCTAAAGAGTCACCAAACTGCAAAGAAAGGCAGAATTACTTTTTGAAAACTCATTCACCAAAAAAGCCTCATTATGTAACTATCCTGGAAAGAACAGAGAAAGCGTCTGGTCCTGGTCGACAGAAATTCAAACTAAATCAGTGAGTTGTCATGTTATATATTTTACATTCATACAATATGTCACTCAATTTTCTACTAGTTTCCTTTTTTATATTTCATTTTGTTACTTTGTTCTGAACTGTATTCCCAGGCTGCCACCCAAAGGTGAAAATAGTCCATCAGGTTCCTCATCTCCCAGTCAGTCCTCTGAAAGATCATCACCCCTGTCTGTCCAAGAAAAAAGGGAGCGAAACAGAAGACATTTGAATGAGATCACTGCAGCAACATTACCTCCGCTTTACCACAACCCAGCACAGCTTCTGTCGCTGGACGAATCTGCTATTCTTCTGAAAGAACAGACCAAGAAACAGCAGGTGAATAGAGCTGAGCTCTGTAAATATCTTTTATTTTGATCATCTTCACTCTAAAATAACATACATCCAAATTCATATTTATTCTCTGGAAATTGTACTTTGCTCATATTTATTCTCTGGAAATTGTACTTGCACACATTGTCCTTTCTTTAAACACTTGAACTCTATCAGTTGATTAAACAAATCTTTGTTTAATACACTATTAAAATCGTTCTGCCTTGTAATTCCATTGTCCTGTTTTGTATTATGCTGTATAACACAATACAATTATGTTATGAATTTCTAATGCTTTGGCTGAGTAATAAGATGTTGAGTTCTGACATGAGACAATGTGAGTTTCCCCAATTGGCTCTAGAGGGCAGTGTTTAGTCACTGTGAGCACCGTACTTTCCTTCTCATTTAAATGCATTGTGTGCAGAGCCTGTGTTAAACAGTGTGCAGCTCTAAGCGGTACCAGGGTCTGTGGAGCATGTTATCAGCCTTACTTTTGTGTAATTTAATAGCAGTGACTCTGCTGCTTTAGAATAATGTCCTGTTTACTGTTTCCCTCGTCTATTCACGTCAACTTTTTTCTCTGTTGTTGTCACATTTCAGGAGTTGCAGGCCAAGCTTGCAGCCCAGAAACTGTCTGAAGGACTGAGGATCTCTATGGGGAGCTACACTCCTGACGGCGGTCCCATGGCTGCCTACAGAGAAGTTCATGACGACGGAGCACAGCTCTCCTCAGAGGAGGACTGATCCTGAGATGCCAGAGCTGTGGAAACCAGTGTGACCTTGGCCCTTAAGGAAATGTAAGGCTTTTAACCTGGCAATCAGCACCAATCAGACTGGATTTTCACTCCAAGGATAGGAGTTCTTCATAGAGGAAAAGGGTCTTTGCTTGTTAGTGAAGCCATAGTTAAGATCCCAGACATAAGAAACCTAATGGCAAAGAATGTAGTTCACATTATTTGGTCTTTGGTTTTCAGTTGGAGCTGTTGTTTCAATGTCCTGCAGGAACAAGAATACATTTCTTTAACCACGAGTCCAGAATGCTGAACTAAAAGAATGTGCACTGAGAAAGATTATTTTGTAAATTTGACTGGTTAATAAGTCAGTTTTTGTGTGTTTTTAATAATTTGCCAAGCTTGGAATCTCAGCGAGAAATACCACTTAAAGTTAAATATTTTTTTAACTAATACAAAAAATATATATAAAAAAAAACTAACAAAAACAAAACATGAATAAAAATATCAAATTGTCCACAACATTCTGTGTGTTTTTAACTTTCGTTCGTTTTTCGTTAGAAAGAGCATGAGGTCGGATGCAATATATTCACTCTTTGCAGCATGTGCACTCAGCAGTCGGTTTGTACGGAGTCTACATGCTTTGCAGGGAGAAAGAGCGGAAAGAAAATTGAAAACTTAGTACTAAAGAAGGGAGGTGTGTCATCTCTACCGAGTTCAGGCTTTCCATTAGTTTTCTTTCACACTCAATGGGTGCTTGGTTTCTCCAGAAGAAATATGGTCCTTCGCAATGTTTGGACCCGAAACTTTAACCAGAGATTTGTTGGTGAAGCAGGTGTTATAATGGCATAATAAAATACCTTAGTATGTCCGGTATATGTGACCCAACCCACTGACTGATACACTGTGAAACATGCAATTTATAAATTAAAACAGTATTACTCTGCATGAACATTTAGTCTCACATGTCAGCTTTTAAATATTTAAATTTGTAAATGTATTTAAGGTAATTGTTCAAACTGTGACCCATATGCAATAAAAAGTAGAGTGCATATATTATATATGTATGTGTATATATATATATGTATATATATATACAGTACATATATAAACAAACGCATATTTGTTTTCTTCCTTTGAGTGCTACATATTTATGAAGCCTTTTTTAATATAAGACTTCCTGCTTTTTAAGGTTTTATTAGTGCAAAATAAATCATGCTGTTATAACTTTCAGTTGGTGGTGAAGCTGTGGTCAGGCCTGATCCTCCAAAATCCTGTGCGATGTTATCGAGGAGGGATCTGTGACACACTTGAGAAGATAAATGCAGAGGTAGTGAAATATTGAATCTTGGTGGTGGAGACATCTGGACTGCATTTGGATCATGTTGTTGCTGGGAATGGCAGGCGATGATGGGACGGCAGCAGGCTAATGCAACATGGCAAATACCATTCCTCAGCTCTGCTAATATGTGGTAGATAAGAAGTGCCAGCTGCATTCAGCATCTTCTCAAACTGCCTTTCCCATCGTCTCTCTTCCAAGTCTCGTGGAGAACTCCAGGCTGTCTTAATCTAAAAAGCCTGATGCTGGGATTTTAATGAGCAGAAAAGGGCTGTGAGGCACGTTTCAGGGGAAATGAGGGTGGGTTCATGTGGGTCAGATTCTGCTGGTTGATGCCCCCTGATAACCTTTAGTAATTGTTGCTGAGGCATTGGTGGAGAGAGGTTTTTAGCAAAAACAATTGATTGCAGCGCATGTAGACACTGTATCTGATGGGCTTCAGCGCGGCCTCATGGTGACGTCCAACAACAGAATACAGGATCTCGCTCTGCCGAGGATCCTCATTGTGCTGGCTTTAATTACACTCTACCTAGCTAACATAAATTCTGAGACCTGTTCCCAATTATGGGGCACATTATTGCTGTAGATTTTCTTTTCACTATCTGGCGTCAAACCTGAATTTGGATGTATGTTGATGATGATGTGGTGGAAGTGAGCACACACAGGTTTTTTTCTTTTAAATGTTGAGGAGCTTGTTTACACTTTGTCTTGAATCCCAGAGCCTTATCTCAGATTAATACGATCATGGTGAATTTGTCTGCAAGTAATTTGGTCTAAGTCTGCAGTCCGAAATCACACATCTCCTGGGAGTAGAAATAATTTGCTGTTTGGGAGAGGGAACTGGAATGTGATGTCGAAGCTGCCTCTTCAAAGTGCAGTCAGCCCGGCCCTAAATTAGATATACCGTATGATGTATAGACACGAGCTGGGCTCTCAGCAGAATGATTGCATTATATCTGCCAGCTAACAGAGTCTGAGGTCATGCTTTTTTCCCCTCTCTGATGTTATTGTCATTTTTCTTAAGACACAGGAGATGAAATAATGCAGCATGCAGCAGTTTTCTGCAGATAAGGTTACACACTATTTACCCATTTCAAATAAATCTGGCTCCACCACCCACAACTGTACCAGCACTCATTCATGTGGAGAATCTTAGCCATGCTTAAAGTGGCCATTCATCTTTATCTGTTTTTTTATTGTTATTATTTAATCATACATAAAAATATGGTCTCCAGAGACTGAATGTTGATTGTTCGTATTTCACATTTGGAGTTAATTTATTAAATTCCACTATAAGCCTCTCCATTAAAGGTAATCCATATCCATAATGTCATATCAACTTTGCCTCTGACCCAACTTTTTTCAAATTTATAGTCATTTCATTTATAGCTAAATTATAATTGTTAATTTATAAGACTTAGAGTTAAGGTAGTTTATTTTAGTATCAAGTCAGTTTGGCTGTTTGCACTTTTTATTTTTGTCTTCAAAGATGGCATATGTATGTTTTTTTAATCTACTTGCAAAAAATTGCTGTGTGTTGTGTTGCTTGTGTTCTCTTAAATATTTATGAAAATAGTTTGAGACAAAGGGAGAGCCGCTTGGAGAAAGACGACACTGCTAGATGGTGTGAAATTTGAGCAAATGTTTCATTTGCAAATGAGATGAGCTGTGAATGGCAACGTCTTTCTCTCTCTCTCCCTCGCCCCCTCTGTGTGTGTGTGTGTGAGTGAGAGGAACCCTGCACATACACTTGTGTGTCTGTGTGAGGAACATACACTCGTTCATGTTGTAACTGAATGTACAGTGTGTCTGTGGTTGTAATGTTTATGGAGGCCTGCAGATAAGAATGTAATCCTTCATGCAATTTTTGTGGCCAACTGTAGAAGGCTGTGAAACAGAAGTGTCCTGGTCGTAGAAGAAAGTCCAGAGTTATTTAATTCATTCTTAAACATGTTTGTTTTTATTTTAAATTCATCTCCCTCCATTCTTACTCAATTTCACTTCATATTAACCTCATGAGAAGAAAGCAGTCAGTGCCCTGACAGCTTGTCTGTCTGGTATTTTTAGACACGTGTGTGTGTGTGTGTGTGTGTGTCTAGTACTTAGAACATTCTTGTCATAGTTACAGAAGGCTTTCATTTGCTGTAAATCTTTGTCATCCGCTCATTTATATCATACTGTGACCTTATGAATTGGACTCAGTTTTTTTTAGTCTTTGCACACAAGTTGTCAATTTGCAGGATTTTCACACTAATATAACCATAACAAAACAGTTCAGAAACAGAATATCATCCTTTTGAATTTTAGATAAAATCAAACTGCAAAAATAACAACACGATAAGTGTTTATCTTATACTTGTCTCTAAATGATGATTATCACTGAGTGTTTTTTTCTTTATTTTTTACTTCTTTTGGTAACTATTCACTGCTATATACAATAATTACTACATCAAAATGCAGTTAGAATATAAAGAATATTCAATGTATGTGAAATGTTTTAGTAAATGGGTCTTGTAATTAAACACATACTTTGATCATTTAAAAAGAGTTTAGATTTAATTATTTCAAAAAAATTTACAACTTTTATTTCAAATACAATTTAAAGACAGCTTATAACTAGCTAAGCTAGAAAAATATAACGAGGGAAAAACAACTAAAAACAACAATTTGTATCTTTTTTTTTTTTAGTGTACTTGGTAAGTATATATAAAACAATAATAAAATAATAACACTGTTAACCCCTTAAATGTGTAAAATAAAGCAATAAATAATTATAAATGATCAAATTGAAAGCAAAAGGTTCCCCAAAATATAATACATATAATATATTATATATAATATATTCTAAAATGAATAAGGTTAATGTTATTTGAACAAAATCTAAACTGAAACTGAAAAAATGTTAAAACATGTAAAATTTCAAACGCATTGATTATATGTTTTAGATTTGCTCTGTAATTTTTACATTTAACATAAATATAACTGAAAGCACAAACTCTGAAACAACATCACATACAGGATTAAGTACACACCGTTACTATAAACAAACGTATGCGGGACGTCAGTACTTCCCTGTTGTCCCAGTGTTTGATTATTATTTCTAATTTCCTATTTAAAGCAGCACTGATTAAAGAAAGTCACTGTTGTGTGTGAAGCAGTAAAAGCCTGTGTGGCCACAGGCAGCAGTCTTCACAGCGTGTTTGTTTGTACACATGTTAAACTGTTGTGGTGTGAAAATCTCAGCAGTCCTGCTTTGTTTCACACTTTGAAATGTTTTCAGAGTGACAGAGGCCTCATCACTCCTCTCCTCTCGTTACAGCAGCTCGTGTTCTGCATGATCCCTCTCTGGAGTCTTCATCATCCCAACAAACTCACACCGAATTGCATCTAAAAGGAGCAGTCGATAAAGATTTACGGCTTCAGCTTGATTTTCTTCAGTTTCAGGGTGAGAACATGTGTTTCTAATACACACAACAGCTCCATAAAATACACATTGCAGTGTTTTTGTTATACACACACAGCTGTTATGATTAGAAGTGTTTATTCCTGTTGTTTTTTCCACACATCTTTGCCAACATTTGAGCGACTACCACTTTTCGTAAGAGTACAGTGCCGCCGCCCCGGTAAAGACACGGCCAGTGTTATCTGTTTCCTTTAGCAGGCCACAGTGTTTACAGTTCAAAGGCCATAAAAGACATCGCAAATGGAAAAGGCATAGTATGGTTGATGACTTATCCTTGTGTAGTCACGTCCTGAAGCAGATGGACCCTAATCCCTGCAAGTAGTACGCACAGCTCAGCACCAGATGGCGATAGTGTATCTCCATACAACTCCATAATACGGAAGGATTTATACATTTCAGTAGTTCTCAAGTAGATACAATTTTTGCACAATATTTAAACTCAAATCTTTTGTTGTGTATTTAAACTTTTATTGATTAGGAAAACATCCAAGTAAAGACTTCAACAATTTAATGATTTATTAATTATTGCCTACAACGCATTTAGAGAAGTTGAGGAAAGGGCAGGTTGAGACTAGAAAAGTCTCGTAACTTTCTGTGGGGTTGTATAAGGTGTAGGCTAACTGGTAGTAGGTTTGCATAAGAAAGTAAGCTATGAAGAGATCGTACACTAAAGGTCAGGTCTTTGCATCAACGCTGGCCTTCCGTAGTAATGTCTGTCTCAATAGGGCTCGTAAAACATCACAGAAAATATTGTGTAATGTGCAAACCGCAGCGTTACTGTGTTCAAGAGGATGTGTAGGGTCAGCAGCTGTCAGGGGTTAAATGAGACCAAAAGAGATACAGTTACTAGGTTCCAGATAGTGAGCGTCTGTATTTCAAAGGTGTGGTTCATGTCCCAGATGAGGCCCTTGGCTCACACCTGGACCCTCGGACCAGATAAGAGCTGTTTCTTGTCTGCGTTTGTTACTGAGATAGAGAAGATAGCATGATTATGATGTGGATGCATCTGCGCTTAGGAGAACTCCCACCATCCTTGCTTGGAAAGCTTTGCATAACAATCCTGAGGCGCTAGAATGTGAGAGAGACAGTGAGAGGGGAGGAGGAGGACTTGGAGGAGGAGGATAAGGAGAGGAAGGGCTACAAAGAACAGAGGCCCGTGATGTGTGGTGTGGGCCAAGAAGCTGCCAGCGTCCCAGCCGCTCCATGTCTGGCCTGGCACAGCATTAAGCGGGCTGTTTTGGGGCCT